ATTGCTAGCAATAAATCTTTATACTTTCACCCCTGGTATCTTTATTGGCTTTTGCATACCGGGCACGATCCCAGACTTGAGCTGGGGCTCAACACCACCATGAGTCTCTGCCAGGGGAAGGCCATGAGTGCTCCGATGGTGACTGCTGCTGCTGTGGGGGGGGTGGGGGGAGGCTGTGCACCATGCAGGGAGGGCTTTCCCACCTCCAGAGTCCTCTCACCCCCATGTCCCTACTTATGAGGGACAGAGACTGGGTCCAAGCCACTGGTACCAGCCTTGCTGAGGCAGCATGCTGGACTAGCAGGGGCACACCAGAGCTATAGAGACACTCTGGCCACATGCTAAAGCATCTCTCTGGAGGACACTGCTTCTGATTGCTTCGTTGTGCTGCTTTTCCCCAGCATGCTATTTTTTTTTTATACTGGGATTTCCCAGTATCGAATTTAGAGTCCATGCTGCAAATAGGCAGTGCAGGGAGCATTTTTTCATTCTTAGCATGCCTCTTGTGGCATCTCAAACTGCTTTGAAGCACCGCAACAGGCATGGGCTCACTCATCTAGACATGGCCTCTGGATACATAAGTGGTCTCATTTTAGGAATCGTTTTTCCCTCCAAAGACAGAAAGACATCTCCCTATTCTTATTCAAGCTCATAAGTGTTATGTGTATCCACTGTATGTTTTCTACAATTTCATGATAATACGTTTTATTTTAAAATGTCTATATTAATAATTGTTTTTCTGAAATGCTTTTACAGCCATCAAGCAGCAAGTGGAAGTTAGAGCCATTTATGCCAGAATCCAAAAGCAGCAAGGTCCAGATGCCACTAATATTGTTGTTTCTCCTTCAAAAATTTCTAAAAGCCAGGTTGTATTATACAAACATGTAGTCATATATGTAGTCCTTTCTTTCTCCTTTATACCAAGGCTATAAATACTGTGCAGTTACTATTACTATTTAAGGAAAAAAAACATTTTTTCCTTATTATGGATATTGCATGTAATCATATACAGGTCAATTACTGTATCAACCAACTGCGAATAGAAATAGGTAACTGGTTCCTAAAAATTCTTATTTCTGAAGAATTCAGTGATAAAAGTGAAACTTTCTACTTTCCAACCATTTTTCCTTAGAAAATGACCCAATATTGTACCTAATACTGAGCTAATCCTCACTGTAGTTAAAAGTGTTGTCCAGTTCTGGAAAAACTGTGGGCAGATTTTAGGTCACAGTACAATATTTTATTGTGATAAGTGTGATACCAAGTGTGCTAAGGCTTATAATTTCTTAAAAGGATTTGAGTCAATCCAAACCTAGTACCACTAATTGATTGCCATATCATTTCCTTGGGTGCAAAGAAATATTGACTCTTGTACCATCATAACTTCTTTTATGTTGGCATTAGTCATGAGTGAACATATGTTCCTGCCCTTTGTCATGTTCCAATTACCCAAAAATGTTCATATCACTAAACCTAGTCACAGTTTGCAAACCCTTATAAGGGAGGATTTCTGTTCACTTATTGGACAACACGGTAATTCCTCTTCAGGGGTTCGTGGGGGGATGCTGATGCACGTGATACTCCGGGCTCTTTAATTAGAGCAATTCTTGGAGCCGCTCTAATTAAAGCCCCTCCTCCCTCCAGGCCTTATGGAGTACATATATAAACACCCTATGTGACTAAGCTCAGAAACTCTGGTTCAGTTCTGGGGAAGTGGAAAAGTCAATTTCCACTAATTGAAATATTAACTCTCTGCTTCATGCTTGTGACCTAACTGCTCATATATAGCATATGAATTTGAGTAGTGACTTCACAAAAATGACTCCACCAAGTATGATTGAGAGGTCCTAGAAATGATTATTAGGTAGTAACTGTCCATCCATAGCAGCTTTTATTATTTTAATTTTAATTGAATTCAAAAACAAAACAAAAACAAGAAACAAAATTACCATTTAAAATAAATGGGAAAGGGGTATGGCAGCTAACTTCTCAGAACTTCCTAAAATATTGAAAATATATACAATTTATGTTATATTGTACTAATTTGTCTAAAAGGGGGGGGGGAGTTGTACTAAGTTGTGCAAATGTGGAATCATAATGAATTAGGTTAAGTGCTCTGTGAGTAATGAAAAAAAATCAATATTTCTTCATTCATCTTCTTCATTTTCTGGTCACATGGGATTAAATTGAAGACCAGCTTTATTGAAATTCTGGCCCAGATCCCCTCCAGATTCAGGTTAACTCACAGTCCCCCAGCTTCCCAGTATGCTTTGTCCCTCCCCTGCAAATCCCCACTCCCCGCTCACAGGATGGGCAGGCTAGCCTTGGTCCAAGCTGTCTGCTTTAATGATGCAGGGAGGTATGCTCTAGCACCCCCTGGCTTCTGCCCTGAGCCACCATAGTCATGTGGCTGCATTTCCAGAATCAAAAGTGAATGTCTGTTCACTTGCTTATTAGTTCAATCTATGCAGCTTAGACTAGCCTGTGAAGATTGAATCGATTCAGCCCTGGGCTTTTTGACTGTCTGTACTTAGCTCAAAAGGCTGATGGTTCTCCACAAAGAGTTTTCTGCTTTGTATCAATTGTCAGTATTGGGAAAGGAGAGGGAATTGCATGCAGTATCCTCAGCATCAAATAGCAGAATGTAAATTTTCTTTTATCACTAGCTAAGTGGATTTTCAGGTGCAAAAGCTTAGTCTCATAGTACAACACTTAACAAGACAGATATAGTGATTCAGTGTGAATAAGAGACTTTATAAACTGAATAACAGGCCAACTTAAAGTTAGTCATATTTATTTTTATTCACTGTCGTGTGGATGCTTGTCAAGTAAATTCAGGTTTTTGTTCATCCAAATGCCTCTTTGTTTAGTGGAAATATTCCCTCTGGTTGAAGCTTACATGGTCCTTCTCCTAGCAGTTGGTTTCAGTGTACTTGCTAGAGTACATGATTATGTCAGATGAATTCAAGCACCCTAGATTTTTAATAAACCTGGTAATTTCCGGGGTTTTTTTTATCAATTTGAATCAGTTCTACATAAGCCACAAATCAGAGTTCAATATTTTTATATGAAGAAGGAACCATTTTATTTTTAACCTAGAATGGTAACAACATCTCTGAACTTGACAGCTTTCTCTGAAAAATATATTTCCTGCTGCTAAAGAAACATTAAGGTGATCCAAATGTAAATCAGCAGTGACAGGCCAGTGCCCATAGTCTACGCTCATTGTCCTCAAGAGAACCCTGTTTCTCTGAATATCTCATGCTTCTCTTCTTAATTATGGATAAGAAACTGTTTATACATGAGGATTTTATATCTGCAAAGTGTTTACTTGTAAGGTATGTTCAAGAAAAATAAAAACAGCCCATTTTGTGACTGCCTGCTCTTCTGAAGCCAGCCAAACATTTGAAACAGAGTAGTCTATAAATTAAAGTCTCTAACATGCTAACATACTGCATATACTTATGTCAACTTAAAAATAAAAGTTTTTAATGACTTATAAAAGAGGTGTAAATACTTACAGACAAATTTTTAGGGTTTAATCCTCATTGTACATCAGAGGCAGATTAAGATATTTTGGAGCCCTGGGTAAGAAGGGGATTGGGGGCCCTCTTGGGGAAAGCTCCTGGCCCATGCGTTAATCCACATATGCCTTACATCTACTAATTTCACATCATTTTATCTTCAATGATATCAATGGAGTTCTTATTTATTCTAAATATTAAGTTGGAATGAAGTTTGCTCACAATTTTATAGGAACATTGTGAGAATTTGTCTTGTGACCTGTTTTTCAAACATTGGATGTGTCTACACAAGACGTTTCCTGTAAGTAGATTAATTAGCTCCTATTAGGCTGCAAGAAACTCATTAACACTGCAGCAGGATAGTATTTGTAAATAGAAGAACTATCCTGCTGCGGAGTTTTTTACTCCACAGTAGTACACGTGTAGATGCTGACATGGCTGGCTGGAGCACGAGGGTGCTTTAGTGTGGGGGCTGCCTGCCACCAACCCTGCGCTGGAGAACCCTTATGCCCCAGCCAGCTCCTCCGCAGTATGTTGAGCTGGGTCGGAGCAGCCCTGGGCTGGCAGGCTGACTCCCTGGGCCTCCTGCCAGCTGGGAGTGCTCTGACCTGTCTCAACATGCTGTGGTTTCAGGCACATATTCAAACTCCCTTGCAATAAGCATCAAAGTTTATTGCTTCGAATTAATTGCATGTGTAGATGTGCTCTGTATCTCTGTATGAATTCCATGCTAATATTTAATAGAAGTACAGGGGTTGTTCTATACCTTAAATATAACAAGTTTTTCAGTATTCTTCTGATAATAGTAAACCAATATATAGAGCTACAGTAACAGACTAACATTTTGTTAAGAAAATTTTCATATATCAAGTTCTAAAGGTTTTGTTTATTGTAAATATTAACGATTAACATATTATAGCTATTTTAGATGTTGTAAACAATACCTTAATTGACAATATAAAAGCATGTACAAGCTTTAAAATGTAATAATAACTAAAACTTTCTTATTTAGTCCAAAACACCCAGTTCGCTTCTGGCTCTTAGTAGCAGTGCTTATAACAACTAGGTAAGTATCTGCTGAAAGTAAAGGTATGTAGAATTTTGAACTGAAGCCAACAAAGTTTACCTGCATCTCTGTGGATAGATCATCCTGTGTGTAAATGGCCAAGCCACTGATGAAAGTTATGTACATTTTTAGCTATTTGCCACTAGCTGTTACTTTCTAAATTCTGGAAGGTTTTCATATACAATGTACACGGAAAAATCTTGTTGCCTCTGCTATGTCTGTAGTATGCACTTCCTGTCCTAAAGTGTATGTGATGTTACTGCTCGTCTTTTTAAAGATTGTTTCCCCTTTTCAATCCATAGATGACAGTAGTTTTGTAATGTATAAAATGTACTGTAGGTAATTGGTTTATAATGTACATTGCGGGAAGGTTAAATTAGTTATGTGAGGCTTAGTGTGATTATCCAATAAAAGATACTGCAGAAGTGCTGTGTATTATCACCAGCATCATTGATCTTGCTACAGTGCAAGTAATGCTAATTTTAAGTCTTATTAAAAACCCAAGAAAAGCCTAATTTTATGTAAAAAAAAGCAAATGGGCTCCAATATCCACACTGAAAGAAAAGATTTATCATTCTTCCTTTAAATGATAATCTTACTTTTATTCATTATTAAGACCTGTAAAAGGTAAAAGTACTGAATTACATGACTTGAAAAGATTTGAAAGGCATCTGTAGACTCTCCTTCAAAGATCCAAGTGGCAAAGTTAGAGTGATCACACCGACAAGAAAAAAGGTATAACACTAAAAAGTTAGCAGCTAGGATTTGTATTTATTTTTCTTCCTTGAAAAATGACAGTAGATTTAAATGTACTTAAATCATATAAATATAGGATAAAACTTAACCTTTCAACTGCTGCCATATGTCCCAGGTACCTACAGAAAGTAGTTGATTTGATAGGGTCAGTGTGATACAGTGAAATATCAGTTTTAAGGGACAGAATCATAGCTACAGCTATAGAAATGGAGCGTATACATACACCTTTTATTTGAACAGCTTTCTCTTCACACCTCCCCTCTCCTCCTCTTTGTTGCTATGACTGGTTAGCCTTTTTCTTGCCCTTGGTCCTTTCCAACATCTTATTTAAAATGCTAATGGTCCCACTTCTTTCCTTCTGGGCCGAGTCAACAATTTTGAACAGTAAGGATGAGGAGGTGCAGCTTGCAGAAATGCTAAATCAACTGAGCAGGGGATTACTAGACTTGGAAATGATGGCAACACTAGTGGAAGACTAGAAGAAAACGCTAACAAAGAAAAAAGGGTGTCAGTCAATGCTAATGTGAAAATTAGATATTGAAATGTATCAAAAAGCATACATATAATAAAAATATTTAGAAAAATT